CATGTTGAATGACTAGTATCTGAAGATATTTCTAGACTCTGATTAGCCTCTGGTGCTAAAATGTTAGCCACGAAACTTAGTTCCAGTTTTTTCCTGAACCAGATTCTAATAGTTTTCGAGCATCGCGACAGGAAGTCGGAGGTCCACGCTCTGGTGCAGTGATTCCCAAACACCACCACCACCGTGATAGATCATTAGGTGTGCCGCGGAAAATGTCACAATTTCATTTAATTGATCTAAACAATATTAATTCTATTATATATTGCAAATATTGTTTCTTTGTTTGTCAATGCATGACTGGCAGAGTAATTAAATACTCGTCCATTAGGTGGGAGTAGAGGGTTGAAGAAGATCTTTGTGAGTGTCTTTCTTCAATTCCTGCGAGTACATCAGTGTTGTTTTCAACTAAACAGTCTTAGTGAATTGTGAGTACATTTGAACTAGAAGATTATTATATTTACGTCACATATACTTCTTTGTGTTGCGCTGTGGGGTTTCTCTAATGAGAAAACAGTTGGGGAACACTGCCTTAGTGTGAGTTGGACGTAGGACGTGTGTGAGCAGAAATATTATCACTCAGAGTTATCGTGGGTTGACACTGATAAATCAGAGAGCAAAGCACCTGTTGTTGTATCTGTTGACACCCAGTGAATTTACTGGAACAGGCCACAGGGGGGCGGAGGCAGCGCACGTCGGTGGGGGATAAACACCACAACGACATAAAACAAGTATGAGATGTTGGCATATTTATGTCTGTAGAGTCAACCTGAGGTTTGAAAAACAATAGAAAGTATTATTACTGTAAACTCTTTATACAGAACATGATCCATGAGTAACTTTACTCCTAAGTCTGCCAAACCAGGCCAGTGAGTGAGAGGGGATTCCTCAGGACACAGAGGCCAGGGCCACATGAATCAAAGATATAAAATAAATATGTTTTCCAAAAGACAACAGAGTTAAACCAAACAATCATTTAAAAGTTAAATTCCGAAATTAAAAGAATCTGAAAATAAAACATGTTAAACCAAACAATAATTTAAAGGACTAAAAAAGTGAAATTCTGAAATTAAAAGAATCTGAAAATAAAACAAAAAGCTAAAACTTTTTTATTTATTTAGAACTAAATCTGACCATCCGTCCGACCATCAGGTCTACACCCTGGTCAGTTCTCCAGTCCTGTAGTGAGCCACATCCAGACAACCAACCAATCACACTCATATTCATTCACAGGTTAATTGACAGGGTTTGTTCAACCCAATCCCTAATCTGCATATTTCTGGGGGTGAAGAAACCGAAGAGAGTGAACTCAAGCAGAAGCCCCTGACACAGACGACTGAATTACCAAAAAATAAACACAATATTTGGCCAAATATATTATTTAGAACAAAACCTCCATCAAGCTAAATAATATCAAACGTCAACCAAGACATGCTAAAAGTTACCCATAATATTACAAATGAAACTAAACCTCAACATACATCAATAATACGTTAACTTTGGGAGGAAAACACATATATAAAAAAGGTAGAATTACAAAAAGTAAATCAAAGGTAGTTTGAATAAATATGTAGTTTGATCACTGACCAGTTCAAAATGTTCAAACACTGCAAGAAGTTGGATGAGAAAAGAGCTACAATTAAACCAAAGGACAATTTGTTTGTTGAACAAATTGCACTGAAAATGAGGTCAAAATGACAGAGCTGTTAAAGCTGCTGTCGGGTGTTAAACTAATGTTAGTCATCAAGTGATTTACTTTAAATCATTTCACACAAGTCTGTGAAGTTAGAAAAAGAAAAGAAAAAATAGAATCAAACATCATCAGCATAGAGACTGACAAAAATGATCTTTTTGTGAAGCAGTGAGACTGAACTCATCGTTCGCATTATTTCTGTTTATACCTTATGAGTATTTACAGTTTGAAGTACTAATACTTGGTGTTAGTACACATGAATGATGTAGAAAGGATGTTTGTGTGTGAGAATCATTTCTCGGACAAATAAGTGAGTCATCTCGTGTTTTTAGTGCAACTCCCCTCAGCTCCCTGTTCACCCTACTGGAATTCTTTGGAACAACTGGACTGTGGAGCGAAGCCAAGGTCACGTACT